CTGGTTGGTTATACAGTGCTGCACCCTGCAGAAAGGAGAGTTTCTAACTGCTTCTTCCAGTTCACGGTTACAGAGGACCTGGAGCTTAGCCCAGCAGGCAGTGGGTGCGAGGCAGACGCCACACTCACTCACTCCAGGGCCAGTTTTCCCAGAAGCCAGTTGACCTCCTAGCATGTATTTGGACTGTGGGAGGAAACCGGAGCACCTGGAGGACACCCACACAAACATGGGAAGAACATGCGAACTCCACGCAGACAGCACCCCAGGAATTGAACCCAGGGCCCCAGCACTGCAGGGCAGAAATGCCAACCACCGTGCCATCATAAACTTCTCTTAAGGGCAAGAGCCATAAACTCAGTTCCAGTTTTTGTTTTTAGATCCGTGTCACCCAGAGCATCTGAGAGTGGATCATTTGGCCCTTCAGCTCTGTTTCAGTTCCCTGCTGAGGATGCAGTCAGTCTCGCTCCTCTTCCGAAGACCGCGTTTCTCCTCTTTCAAGCCAGAAAAAAAACCCAAAACAACAACCATTCCCCCTTCTTGGGTCGGACGGGAGAGTGGAAGCAGAACTCTGTCGCGGGGCTCTGCTGCCAGCCGGGAGGTGGGCCCTGCGCAGTGGGAAAGAGCAGCCAAGGCACCTCTCATTTCGAGCCAGAGCCAAGCCGTTCTGCAGCAAGTAGGGGCGCTGGGGGGGATCGTGCACAACCACTGCCTTTGTGTCGCCCTAATCCCCCCGGCCAACACAGAGTTAGCCAAGTCGAAGGATGAAAGTGCGATGAAATAACTACTTTTTTTTACCAGTAAATCTCCTTTAATCCTGCTAGGTGGGGATACAAAGGCCTCTTGGCACTAATCCCACTGCTTTTAATGGGCTCAGGGACTGAGCAAAGGGCCTCATCTAAATGACTTATTTTTGTTGGACACTAATACAGTTTGACAGCCAAAAAAAAAGAGGAAGAAAGGGCAAAGAAAAAAGCTTTTACGAAATTTCACAACTGCTCAACAGCACATCCTATACTTACGAGCATATATAGTAGCCATGTACATGTGAAATGCAGCTAGTGATGTAGTGTTTAGCGCAAGCATTAATACTTCTTTAAATCACACATTTTAGGTCATTATCAGAGCAAAATGTAACATTCCCAAGGAAAATAGTACAGAGATGGACAGAGAGAAAGAGAGGTGTCAATTTCTAGTGGTCAATTCTGAAGTGGCATTAATGATGATGTGCTCGAACTGTACAATTTTGTCGATCCCCGGTTATATGCATGTGTGCTGAGATTTCATCAGTGACAGAAAGCAAACCAAATAAACTGTTTTTAAGGAACCAACAACGGGACCTATTTGGGCTGTAAATGAGAGAATGGCTCAATACACATCAAGCTCAAGGAGAAAGAGCATTGCAGACAGCTCCACTCGTCACACACTCCGGCCTTTTTCATTCTGTCAGCGGCCCGGTTTGCTGCTGCAGGACCTTGGGGGGCGGTATTGGAAAGCCAACTTTTTAGTCCACCGGGGCCTTGGAATTTGAACAGCAACCAGCAGAAACGTTGAAACCCGAGGGAAAATGCTACTGCTGCTGTAGCAGCATGTGCAGCTGTGGTATACATTATGTTGTTTTCCAGAAAGATCAAATATATTTAACAGTTTGACTTGACCACCTGGAGGAGTCCTCGATTAGTTATTTGCTATTTTTTTACAAGTATTTTTATTGTTTTTTGGACAAAAATACATTATGCATACATCATGTAATAATGTTACAGAACATGTGAATTGCTGGTGTGAGAGTTTTATCTGAAAAGAAAAATTGAGCATTTCCAATCCCCTACCCACATCCCCCCCAAATCTTTGCTCACATACAGAAGTAAACCTGAAGGAGAGAGACACAGGAGACACACCAAGAGCAAAACACTAATTACACTAACAGTCTCCTGGAAACAAAGGAAAGTGGAAGGCCAGTCCTATCAGGTGTCATCTGAGTAGCCAATCAGCAACAGATTATAGTCTTGGCTGCGGAAGGGAGTCTCGAAGTCTCAAACAGTTCAGAAATGGGTTCCAGGCTTTAAAAAACGTAATGGTGGACCTGCTAAGTGTGTATCTAATTAAATCTGAGAACCTGCATCATAACCCTGAGTCCTTCACTATTTTAGCCAGTTGTAGACGGTACACACAAGTCCTGTGTGACACTGCGCGTTACTAAATCATCTGTGACATTTAATTCTCAGCTCGGCTCAACGCCTCCTTCCTCTCCCACAAAGAATAACATCCAGCAATTCCTCCGGAGAGAACATTGTTTAAACACTGACTTCCCTCTTCAAGGCCAGGTGCGGAGCGCTGGGATATGGAGGGCTGGCAAACACAGCTCTCACTGATAGCAACGCACTTATTTCCACAGGGGTCCCAGGAAGACTCTTCCTGTTGGCTCCAGTACAACTTGGGTGAGTGTTGAGGCTCAGCAGGAAGAGCAAGTCGTGCCCCTTGCTCCTCAGTGTAGTGTGATTTGATTAGCTGGGACACAGCACTGGACAGTCTGTCCGATCTCAGAAACATGGGCCGGTACTGAAGCTGATCAGACGTGGACCTAAGAACGCCCATTGCTGTGCTTTCACGCTGAGAACCAGACAGACTGGTTTCTAGGGCTGTTTGAAATGGCATCGAGCGTTGCTTAGCAACCTCAGATGGTGCATACAGTAAGTCAGGCAGACCTCTCAGGGAGGAAAGTGCGTATCTGAGGTTAACACAAAAGTACAGGCAAGTAGGAATTCCTGAACAGGGGATCCGTTCGCCAACTTACTTGTATTATTGATTGTGGACAAGTACAGAATAGCAGAACCCTGGCCAAGTTTTAGGTGACCGTCTGATCCATATCTAATGATCTGCATACGTCTGGCCTGATCAGCTCCTATCCCCTTCCATGCTGCAGTTTCCAGTTCACTGCAAATCCTCAACACTCCTTAACAGCTTCCAAATGGCTCTATCCCCACACTCCCGATGGCAAACTCCAATCAAACTGTTTTTTGGGGGGCTTGTCAGAGGAAAGGGGGGGATTAGCCATGTGTGGTTGATTCTGCTGTACCCTTCCAGAGTTCCAGGATCTGAATCTTGCACCAGTCCGCCACAAGGGATACACACTCTCACCAGGGCCAGTTTTCCCAGAAGCCTATAAGCCTTCCAGTAAGTCTAGGACTGTGGGGTGAAACCAGAGCACCAGGAGGAAATGCATGAGAACATGCAAACTCCATGTAGATGGTATCCTAGGAAATGAACCCAGGGAGACAGCGCTGCTAGGCAGCTATGTTAACCACTAGGCAGCCATGTGGCCCCGAAGCACTATATGTCATTTGCAATTTTGTGTTTTTGCAAGTTTCCCAGCCAGCTGATCGTTCTTCCTGTCCGGAGTGGGCCTGTGCAGCCTCTGTGGGACAGAGCCTGGGACAGACTGCTTTTGCCTGAATGGCGATGGTAGACAACCCCCCCCCACCACCACCACCCCCCAAGTCTGGGTGCCTGCACAGCTCACAGCAACACGCTGGGACTCCCAGTGACAACTAATGCTCGTGGGAAACTTAATCTGCTCCAGTTTTTTCTAAGCCTGGATCTGGCAGATCCAGAATTTACATCACTAAACCCCTAATCCAGAAATTATACAGGTTTATCAGAAAAGGATCTAAGCATTAGACTGGATTCTGTAGGGGCAGTTAAATTGCTATAGATCAGACTCTAATAAACAAGAATTGCTGGACCAGCGATGGTACCGAAACAGAGTACAACAAAAACTGGGCAATAAGTAGAAGGAATGCACTAACGCAAATGTTGAAAAGTATACAGCATGTTTCATAACCCTGTGATGTATTGTGTCCTACCCATGAAGATGGTGCTCTCTCAATTATACCACCAGAGAGATGAAACTGAAGCACAGCAGAGGTCTAAGTAGTTTGCTCCAGACATCTCATCTCTTCAAGGATACTTTTAAGGTATTTTTTCTACTCCAAACACATCTCTTCAATCTCTGTCCCTATGCACTAATTATTTTTCTTGACCTGTAGAAAGAATTATGAACAATCTTCAGACAATTCACTGTTCACTGAATTATGAGAAAGTGCACTATTAGATGTGCAGAGGTAAGTTACAGCAAAGTGGACTGGACTGCAGGGTCAGTCAGCATGTCTGCTGCAGGGCTGTCCAGTCCTGGTCCTGCAGGGTCAGTCAGCATGTCTGCTGCAGGGCTGTCCAGTCCTGGTCCTGCAGGGTCAGTCAACCTGTCTGCTGCAGGGCTGTCCAGTCCTGGAGGACCTGTGTGTCTGCTTATTTCCAAGGTTTTTTTTTTGAAGCAGCACCTTAATAGTTGAGTGGGGCTGAGAAACTAAGCCAGTAATTTATCCATTTTGTAATCACTTCTTCCAATGCAGAGTCGCAGGGGATCCGTAGACTATCCTGGCAAGCTGAGATTGGGCTTTTAAACTTTTAAAACAACGTGGCTTTTGTGGCATTTGCACTCGGTAACCGAGACTGAAATGCAGTGAGTCGGTGAGGCTGCCGGGGGCAGAGTTTTTTTTATTTTCTCTTGAAGGCAGGGGGCTCAGCGGTTGTCCCGGCGGGAGGTTTTCGGTGTCTTGTTTGGCTGCAAGTGTACGAGCCAAATAAGCACCCTGTTAGCAAAACAAACTATAGATCCCGCAGCGGGGAAGAGACGAGGTGTAGGAGGGGGTTCCACAAAGAACAAGCAAGCCTGTTATTTAATCTTCCAGGGCTGGGAGATTAGCCGGACCTCATTGTTTCACTTGTTTTAAGGCGCAATGAAATGACTCGCTCATTGACGGGGGAATCCCTCGCGCAAATCTCTCAAGTTCAATAGTTTCAAAAACTTGAGCCCCCGCCTCCCTTATCCTCCCTAATCCGGGCTAATACCTTTCTTTCTATTGGCTAATGACCGGGGGATGCTGGAGTTAATGCTTCTTAAATAGCCGAGGGTGAGAATGCGTAAGAATCCACTTTAATTCAAGTCTGTCCTGAGGAGAGGGGAGGTGGTCGTCGAGGCCAGACTCGCAGGATTATAAACTCCGGGCGCTTTCAGTGCTGTGTGTTTAAAACCTCTTCTTGAGTCGCAGGAAATTCGTAATTTCCACAAGCAAGGTGAGACCGTTTAACCTTGGTGCGGAACTCCAGGAAAATGGTTTTGTTGTTTTTTTTTAAAAAAAAAACTGTTTTTGGATTGAGATTCTCGAGAGAATACATTCATGTTTAATAGAATTTCAACCGTTTCGCATTGCTAAACGTTACTCTGTTTTAATGGTAAGTACTACTGTGGGGAAAATCTGGATTTTGTGAATTCACGTGTTTGGAATAAGACTGTCCTCCCCGTTTTAGCGTTTTTGTCATCTTAGAAATCTTACAGCACCGGTAAGTCATCGTTTGCATACAGGAACATCGGAAGAGTCATTTTTTAATTAAATCACCATCAAATGAGCCTATTGCTGACTGAGTTTAACTGTAAATACAAGTCATCTCGTGGTAAAAGCTGAATAATATCGGAATTATCCCCGCGATAGATGGCAATTGTCTGTATAAAAAAAGTATAGGGGTTGTTTAGCTGTAGTTTTTAAACATAACTATATTGTTTCTGTGGTATAAGAATTAAAGGTAGGTAAATGAGACTTTAGCGTCTCGGTCTTGCGCATTTTGAAGATGTTTTAAACGCTGTTCTGTGTTCTGCGCGTCAGCTGAGGTGTGGACGTTCAGCTTCCCCGTTTTGTTGTTGTGTAGTATCTTAAAGCAAAGTTGTGACGATCTCGCAGCTGAGCCGCATGGGAGCAGAACTAGGGGAGCTCTGCTGTAGCTTGAAACGAGTCGGGCAGGCTGAGGAGCTGGAGGGATCAGGCGTGCGCGGCTCTGCCCGGCTGTGTACCACACCTGCGTGGGAGACCGGCAGACGACACCTGGAGTAGACCGTCTCGTTGCACGCAGAAATCTTGCAAATAAACCATTTTTTTTTCTTTTTGACGCAAGCCTACCGTGCAAATCACTACCTGAACTCGAGAGCGTGATTACTGTGCTCTCAATAAGTATTAGACTGACGTTTTTAACTTTCTCATGACTATAAGCTAGAAACTGCGTGTTTTATACAATGCATTTATTTTGATTTTTTTTTTGTATCATTTCTCTTTTTAGCTTGTCCTGAATTTAGCGGTATCGCTATTATATATATATATAGTTAAATCGTTTAATATTGCAACGTTACTTTATAACGCAGCTTCATAATTATATGTAAAATATAAAGGCTCTAACGTAGGTCCATGTGCGTACTTCAGATTTCTATATCTAGATGTATGTGAATTAAGCCTCGCTGTTTATTTTCTTTCAGCAAATTGTAGCGTTCGCTGTCTTCGCCATGAACTCTCTTCACTACTGCGGCGGGACGTACCCCCTGCAGAGCCTGAACTCCTTGGCTGTCATATACGATCTCCACCAGCAGGTGGCAGAGCAGTACCGAATGAGCCACGCTCGCGGCCCGTCCGCGGCTGTCCACGCCTATTCCGTGGCTGAGAGGCTAGCGGGTAGGTCAGCCTTCCGTTATATGTGCTTGCGGGACATGTATTGCTTTTCTTTCCGAATGCCAGGTTACTTCTGAGGTTAGTTTTCGTGTTCTCTCTCAAATCTAAGTCTTTGTACTTCTACTGTTGCTTCTTGGGCAGACAATTTAAATTCTGTGCATCTCTAGCTTCCCTAGAGCTAGGAAATGAAATATGTATGGCTGTGAAGTTTTTTTTTTTGGGCTTGGCAACTTAGTCAATGAAACCAACCCCAAAAAACGTCGCAGAGCTGCTTTAACTGCGGTTGCTGTTCGTGTGGCCCCTGCCGTCGCAGAGCTGCTTTAACTGCGGTCCCTGCTCGTGTGGCCCCTGCTTTAACTGCGGTCCCTGCTCGTGTGGCCCCTGCTTTAACTGCGGTCGCTGTTCATGTGGCCCCTGCGGTCGCAGAGCTGCTTTAACTGCGGTCCCTGCTCGTGTGGCCCCTGCTTTAACTGCGGTCCCTGTTCGTCTGGCCCCTGCCGTCGCAGAGCTGCTGCTGGAGTCCCGCTATGGCAGCGCGCAGAAGCCCAGGAGGAGCCGCACGGCCTTCACCGGCCCGCAGCTGCAGGCGCTGGAGGGGGCCTTCCGGCAGACCCACTACCCGGATGTGGGCATGAGGGAGCGGCTGGCGCTGTGCACCAACCTGCCCGAGGCGCGCGTGCAGGTGAGCTCCCTCCGGGCTTGTCCCGTTTCTAACCCTCATCCGGATTCTGCCCCCCGTGAACCCTTGGTTGGCGCACCGCTGGGCTTTTAGTGCTGGGCGGGGCGCAGTTCTCAACACTTCAACAACAGACCCCCCCCTGCTGGGGGGCAGGATTAGATCTCCATTGCTGGGGGGGGGGTTGTGAGGGTTGTTGCAGACTCTCGGGATGGATTTACAGGGAGATCCAGGAAAGGGGATGTTGGGATGAGAGGGAGTCCGTCTTCTAGAGCCGCTGTCAAGGAGCTAATTCTGGGTTTCCTCCCCGGACCTCGTTTTGTTTTGCGCGGGTGTGCCGTAGGATCCGGTGTCTGCAACACTGGACTTCACAGAGACCTCCCGAGCAGAATTTAATGGTATAATATGGGGAGACAACCGCGCTCGTTCTGAATTGACTGACATGTCTATTGCTGCGGTGGGGGTGGTAGAAATATTGCACAGGACTGAGAGAAATGCGGAGCAGTAGCTGGTGGCAAAACATGAACCAGGTGTGTGTTGTGTTTTTTGTGTGGTTGCAGGTCTGGTTCAAGAACAGACGAGCCAAGTTTCGCAAGGGCCAGCGCCCTGCCCCGGCCGTGGAGAAGGTGGGGCAGGAGCCGGCCACGCAGCCCGAGACGGGGGGCCACGCCAGGACCGATGGAGGGACCCCTGGAACTCCCTGGGGGGCCTCCTCTCCCGGAGAGCTCTGTGCGGCCCACCCCACCCCTAGCGCCGGAGATCACCTGCCCCTCCTGGCTGCCGGCTTGCCTTTCAGACCCACCTTCTGGCCGGCCCCCCAGCAGCCCTGCCCTGTTCCTGGCATCGGCCTGCATGGCGAGGGCGCCAGCCTGGGCTCGGAGATTGCCAGCCCCTGTGTGGCACTGCCGTTCCGCCGTGTAGACCTCAAGGCGTTGCATAGCAACAGTGCCAAGCTGTAGGCCTCCTGGGTAATCCGAGACTTCCCTACCAGCCTGTAAATAATGGAGCGGCTGTGCAGAGCTAACCCCTGGGATCTGGCCGCGTGTGCCCTTGGGCCGGTCCCCCTGCGTGGGAGTTTGAGCCCCTCGATCTGCACGACGGCCTGCAGCGCCTGCAGCGCCTGCAGGGAGCTGCACAGGGGGGACGCGTGCTGCTGTGGGGGTGCTAGGATTCTGCTGGGTTGCCCTCCACTCCAGCTCTTGGAAGAAATCCAGCTCGTTCTTTTAAGCGTCCAACTTAAAAGCAAGAGAAGGCAAATGTTTGTAGTCCTCTTGTTGTGAAAGCCTGCTGTGGAATGAAGTGCCAGTTTGTTCATTCAGCCTTTTATCTGAAGAGCTGCTGCACTCCTGGGCTGGTCTAGGGGAACAGAAGGCGCTCCCTTCTCTCCTCGGTCAGAAACTGGGAACGGGAGATGTCAGCTGAGGCCTACCGTTGCATGTGAAGCTTTCAATCGCCCTGTCCAATGTATACCACCATGCCTTCCAGTAAAAATAGGGTTATGAACCCAGTCTGCCAGTAGCCACCTGTAGCTTCGGTGAGACTTTGCACCCCCAGCGGATCAGCCCCACCCCGGCTTGAGTGCCCTGCGTGAACCTGTGTCACTGTGACTAGTGTCCTTCTCCTGTTAGCCTTAACAGTCCTCTCCTCTGTGGTTTGAACAGTCATGTGAATTCGGTGCTGATGTGAAGGAATAATCGGTTGACTCTGATTATAGGTAGCTTTGTCTGTTTCTGTTTTCCCTTACTGGTTAGTGGTAGTCCTGCAGTACAATAAGTGTACCAGGCCTTTGTCGATATGGCCTATGTACCCAAGTTCTTATCTACAATGAGACCTACAGCCTGTATTCTGTTCGTATGCCTTACCCATAGCTAGCATATCTGATTTGTCTGCTTCTTACTGACTTTATTCTCTGCATGAGCTATGAACTTATTCCTTATGTATGGGTTAAACTGATCAAGTTCCCCAAGCACCATCACCGTTGGTGTGTCACCTACTGCTCTCCTCTTGGAGTTAAGCGAGGATCCAATGGACATGCATTGCACATCGAGCAGCTACTGTCATTTTCTCTTTTTAGGGCTGTTCTTCTTTGGCTACCTGGAACCCCATGTTGGTTGTTCTAAATCTGATCTACCAAACATTCTCTAAGGAAGACAGTTTGAGTAAGGACCATTATTTTTTGTTTTGTAGTGAGTGACAGTAAAATAATGACTTTATGGGTTTTATGCTTGTTCTTGTGCATAAGGCACTGAATAGCCTAGCTCCACCTTGCTTTTCCTTGCAGTTGAAGCCTGGGCTCCACACCGTGGACGATAGAGCCTTCTTGTGTGCATAAGAGCTTCTATGGAACTTGCCTCCCCAATTCATTACAACTGTCACGTACCAGTTTGTTAAATCTTTCATGACATGGGGCTGCACGCTGGTGGAGGTGAGTCCCCATTACGTGTAAAGCACTTTGAGTGGAGTGTCCAGAAAAGCGCTGAGTTAATTTCACTTGGGTTTCAAAGTCCATTTGCTCTACTTTCTCCATGGTCTTTGGAGCGGGCGTGAATAGTGAATAGTGCTTTCAAAATGCTTGTAAAACCATTTTATGAGCATATAATTCATATCAACATCATTTAAGGCAGGAACATGCATTGGAACAGCTGTGACCAGTTGAATCTGCCACCTGAACACCTTGTTCTGATAAAATGACAAACCTTATTTGTGTTAATCTATGAAGTGCAGTATTCGAGCTGATGGAAGAAGAACTTGAAGGTATAGCAAAAGTAAAACAATTGTACTGCATTCTCATAGGGGAATCTCCACGCTAGTTACTAGATCCAGTAATATCCGTTCAGTTAAACATTGGATACTTTGAACTACCACTGATTATGCACCAGAATGCATTAAATGTAGTACAATACAGTCTACTGTTATATCTATGTACAGTATGTCACTGACCACTTGAACTACAGCTGGGGGTGGCAGGCCCTGTACACTGTGGTCTTGTTTTCTGGAGTCACATGGTCAAAGAATGGGCTGCGTGCTCTTGGTGCCAGTTTAGGTGCAGCTGCTGCCCTGTGTTTTTACCATTGAATCTTTTTCACAGTTTTAAAGACAACAAGGCATAGCCCAAAATGGAAGAATGGGGATGGGGTTGTACAGGCAGGGGGGGGAAATGTTTTTCGCCAACGCAATTACAGAAATCGTGTGCTGAAACCGGCCGGTAAAACCCCAGCAAAGTCTTGTAAGACGTGGTGGAATTGCGGTTAAATGTAAGGATATGTTCGTGGTAAATAAGTCTGGAACATGAAGGGAGGAAGGTGCCGCAGGAGGTAGGGAGGGGTGGATCCGGGGATAGATGGCGGCGCAGAAGCTGTCCTCCTATGGAATTTGAGAAATGCCGAAAGGTCCCCCTGGAGTGGTGCCAGGAGGGCTGTCCTGGTCTATTAATGCGTGGGACAGAAGGACACAGGCGCCACACAAACTGGGGGTGTGCCAATCCCTGGGGGAGGGCAAAAGGGGGGCGGGGGGTGCGTTCGGCAGCGGTTTCCGCAGGACATGTAGGCGCAGGCGGTGAACAGGAGCAAACCGAAGAGCCCCGCTTTGGCCACCAGGTACCTCGCCAAAGTGTAGGCCGGGAGCCAGCTCGGACCTGGAAGGGGGAGGCAAGCAGGGTGCGGGAGTCAGAACGTGGGCCGTGAGGCGTGTGGCGCTCAGGACAGCCGGCAGACCCCAGCTGGGACCATCTTCAGCCCGAGGTGTGAGATCGGGGGATTCTGAATTGCGTGCAGAGATTAAAAGGAATTGCTTTAAAGTTGCACAAGTTTAAGTGTTTTTATTAATCCTCCCGTGGCTGGTGAGCTGTTTCCGCCTTCTGGGGTGCGAGGCTGCAGATGCGGTGGAATAAGGGACAGGGACTCACCTGTGACTGTGACCCTCACGGCCTGGCTCTGCCGGAAGGGGGTGTGGGTGGGGAGGGAGGCGCAGCAGTGATAGTCCCCCGCCTGGCTTGCTGTAAGGGGGACCCAGGCGAACCCCAAATCTGCACCTTGGGTGTGGTTGGCCGCGTCCCAGTGCTGGCACGCCCCCCGGCTCCAGAAGAGCGTCAGGTTGTGGAAGCTGTGGTGAAAGGAAGCTGTGCAGTTGATGGTGACTGCCTGTCCCTCCTGCACTTCGACTGAGTCTTGGGACACGTTGACCTGGAAGCCTGAGAGGCAGGAAAGAAAAAGAAACTGCTCCTCATTCCATTCCCTTCGAAATTCATACTATGTACCTCACTGTGCTTTTTGTTCATTTCCCTCATTGGATTTTTCCTGTATTCTGAATTTATCAAAAAAATAATAGTTTGGAGCTTGGCAGCATGTTGGCGCTGCTGGCTCACCGCTCTGGGTTCAATTGCAAAGCAGGTAGGGCTGCTGCTGCTACCCCAGCATTGCTTTAAAAATGCAGTAGAAATAAAAGTTTTTACTGGTTTCCCCACAGTGACATCTCTGAAACTGTCCGCTGACGGGCCGGTGGGGACACTGGCAGATCGCACCAGAGGGGCGGCCGTGATCAGAGCTGCCTCTTGCGTGTGTGGCTGCTGCCGTCTCGGGGCGAGGGGCTTGCTGCTTACGCGTCACGGTGAGGATCACGGGGTTGCTCCTTATTTCGGGGTGCACCGACTGGCAGTAGTACACCCCGCTGTGGCCGAGCGCGGCCCTGTCCACGCGCAGGACAAAGGTGTAGTTCTGCTCCCCGGTGGTTTCATTCAGCTGAATCTGGCACTGGCGCCCGGCGTCCTTGCACCACTGCAGCGGCTGGGGGGGCTCGATGCAGGAGACGTGGCAGCTCAGGTTGAAGGCCTGCCCCTCGCCAATCAGCCGCTCCTCTCGATTCCTCTTGATGGTGGGGCTGCAGCACTCTGGGGGGGGATTGCAGGAGCAAAAGTGAAGATTAAGTTTCTGCCCTTCTGTTTGAAAAAAAAAAGGAAATATCTAATCATGCTCTTTGTCTTCGCCCTGGCCGCTATGGAAAGCATTGTTCACGTCAGCCCATTTCCCCCTTTAATCAGCCTGCTGCTGCTCGGGTGGGGCCTTGAGGCAGGTTTCTCCTGTTGTTCAGTCACCCGTGTGTCCTGTTTGAGAACCATCCCCTCCACTGTCGAAGTGCTTTGTGCAATTCAGGGTCATGGGGGGGCTGGACCCTGTCCTGGCAAGTAATGGGCGCACGGCAGGGTCCACCCTGAGCAGGACACCAGACACACATGCTCACGCCAGGGCCAAGTTTCCCAGAAGCCCATTAGCCCCCCAGCATGTCTCTGGACTGTGGGAGGAAACCCATGTGACCACAGGGAGAGCATACAGACTCCACACAAACAGCACTCTACAGTATGTCTGGAATTGAATCCCCAGCCCCAGCAGTGCAAGGCAGAACTGCTAGGAACGTTACCCATCGTTGATATTAAAAACCTTTATGAATAAAACTGTCTCTTAGTGTGTGATTGTGGCTCAGCTGGGTTCTTCACCTGGAAACTGCACTGACCGGACGAACAGTAGACCACAGCCAGCTGTCTAACCTCTGCATAGACACGGGTGACGCTGACTGCTTCTCTCCAGGTTCCCAGCTGAATCAGAGCTCCAGAGCCAACCAGAGAGCAGACCCGGCTCCCACTGCTGACTCCCAACACGCCAGGACCCCAGCCAGCGACAGCTGTTGCATGGATACCCCAGATGTTTCCATTAAAGCTGCACTTGATGCGGCCAAATGCCAAGAGCTGAGGCCTAGAATAGTGTTTAGTCTGTACAAGACACGTGATACCCATGAGTGGAAGGATTTTAACATTCGAGCTGTTGAAGATCCCCAAAAGATGAAAACTAGCTCATGAAATTTCGTTCACTAGACATGAAAGGCTGACTTGTGAACAGCAGTCCTCCAGAGCTACACAGTTCCCTTCCCCAGAGCACTCACCCCTGATGTCCACGGACAGTGCTGAAAACCACAGGACCCACAGCACAGTGATTCTCCGGGCTGCCATCGTAGCGACGGGTTCGGACCTTCTCTGAACACGCAGTGCACAGCAGCCCTCTCAGCCTGTGATGTTAAAGGAAGAGGAGGCTCTGACACCCGGAAATTTGCAGCATGTGACTAAAGCCCTTAACCTGTCTGTGGCCAGGGGGTGTAGCTTCAGCCTGCTGATGACAATAAGCTAGGAGATTGAAGAGGTGATTGTTGGTCACTTTGTGTTCTATCACAGAACGCTGGTTTTAATTAGAAGTCCGTATCCACTTCTTTGTTATAGCGTCAGATGAAGAAACAGAAAGTGTTGCCAGTCCCGTGTTACACATCATCAAGGAGGTGGGCTGATCCTTAAAGATTTCAGAGTTATGTTTTCAAGACTAGACTTGTACCCTCTTTCAGCTTTTAATAATAATAATAATAATAATAATAATAATAATAATAATAATTGCTTACACTTATATAGCGCTTTTCTGGACACTCCACTCAAAGCACTTTACAGGTAATGGGGATCCCCTCCACCACCACCAGTGTGAAGCCCCACCTGGATGATGCGACGGCAGCCATAGTGCACCAGAGCGCTCACCACACATCAGCTCTCAGTGGGGAGGAGATAATAATAAAAATAATTAACAATTATTTCAATAATTAATAATGCAATAATTTAATAATTAAATTAAAAATAATTAGAAGAACAATACTTCAAATGGGCTACAATGACTTCAAACAAAAGGCTACTCAGCAGGTTAATCATACATTATTATATTTCAGTGAACTAAAACAGACCGTAGTGAGTTTACTGTATGAAATAATTCTCTTGGAAATAAGGTTAAGCATGTTTCATTTATGTGCCATTGCTGGAGGTGAATGTTTTATTCCTTTAAAAATAAATGACAAAAAGTTTAATTTTAGTTGTTGCTCAATACAGAACAAAATGATTAATAGAATGTCTTTCAAAGCTCTGTTGGACAATTTCCAAATATTCCAATCTATACTAATGCTAAAAATGTTGTTTTTTTCCCCCACACCATTATTGTCTGTAGGTTCATTGGGATTGTTGGTGGACCAGTAGGGGGTGCACTTTCCTCTCGGCCAGAAGTTTACAATTCCAATTCTTAATGTGGATGTACTTGGTTCCTTCTTTTGGGATGTGTTATGCAAAGAACTATTATTTAAAAACTTTGGAGGGTGACGCTGTGGTTCAGTGGGTAGCAATCCTCCCTTGAAGCGCTGGATCCTGGTTTCAGTTCCAGACCTGGGGTGCTATCTGTGTGGAGTTTGTGTTGTTGCTGGTGTTGGGAGTTTGGAATTTTTTTATAGAAGGGTGACGCCAAAAACGGACAGGTGTTGACCTCCCCTGTCTTATGTCACTATATTTTCTCAGGGCTGGGGTCTTCAGCTAGTGGTTCCAGGATTCCTGGTGGTCCATAGAAAAAAAAAAAGGAAAATATTTTCTCCCTGGTACTGAACAGGACAGAAATATGTCACACCAGCAGTCTCGCACCCTGGTATCGGATACGCTGACTTGCAGCTGTGCTTTCTAAGCCATGGTAGTAGTAATATTTATTTATTACAACAACGCAGTCTCCAGTTTGATTTTGTGGTTCAAGATTGGGGCTCAGCTAAATAAAACACTGGGACACTCTGTACTCTCTCTACTTTTCTACCACAGCACTTCACTTGGCTTAATTCTCTGGCACTCTGGAGGGAAAAAAAACACGCACACAAGAGCTCTGAAACTTATTCCTCAACCTATTGTGCGCAGAGATTCTACTTCAGGACAACGCTGACATCCTTTCTTTACGTGCGCAACTTGCGGTGTCGTGCGCCCTCAGTGGTATTCCCCAAGCTGCGTTACGCTAGCTGCGCTAGGCAGCTCCCATGGAACCCCTCACGTTGCTAGCTGCGCACAACTTTTTCCCTTCCACGGCCGCTCGGGTTTCTATGACTGTCTATTCCTGAACTCGGATACGCTCCTTTCGTAGCGTACGAGCTGTGATGGTGGCGAGTGGGAACGCAGAGTGCTTGGTCGCTGGCTGGGGGAGGCTTAAAGAGACAACAGCAGGGAGAGAACGAAAAGCAGAAGAGATGAAATTGAGAAAATATCACTAGATGCAAGCAGAATGGGGATTGTTACTCAATAAAAACCCACCCTGGACAGGTAAAAGTTTCGCTTTTGGTCTCCCAACGAGGCGTTTCGGTGGCGTGTTTTCCGTAAAAGGTGTTGGTTGTGAAAGAAATTGAAAGGGATTTCGGTTGTAGGATTAAGGAGTTGCCCTGTTGATGTGTTGATAGGGGGAAACAAACACAGACTTCGATCCGAAATACATTTTATCTTGTTTGCCGAGAGTATAGTGCTCACCGGGGGCTTGGGTTTAGGCGATGAAGACCCCGGCACGATACGGAAAAGCCGAATTATCTCAATAAATATTTGATGGTCTATTTCCAGCTCAAACTTGTTTAATTCGCCAGTCGTTGTAGGCCACACGAACTAAAAATATAACAGCCGGGGGGTAAATCTTGCATGCAACGTACCTATCTTTAAAGTTGTAGAGGATATAAACAAAAAAAGTTTAAAGGCTGTTTTATTTTTTTTCTGCTTCCTGTGGTTGGATTGGAAGCGAAACGCCTTGTCGGTACGGATCCTAGTTGGGGTTTCTCTCTGTGTGTGTTTTGTTTCTAGGCCCAGTCCGTGGAGGATTAATAATAATAATTCAAAAAAAAGACTTAAAATCAAATCGCCCCTCGCACCCGACTTTATTTTTATTTTCTTTATTTTTTCCGCTGTCGTTGAGGGAGACCAAGGCGAAATGTTTCAACACGCCACCGCCTGCGTTTCCCTGATGGTTTGGCGGCGGATTAACGACGAAATCGAGCAAACTGTTCGTCACGAAGCGGCATCCCGGGGGGGCAAAAAATTGTCTTTTTGATTTTTAGTAGCCGGTTTGTACCGACACGAACGTGTCTGGGTGTCATTTTATGGCTCTGGGGGGGAGGAGGTGGGGGCGACGGCGTCTTTCCTGAACCTGAAAAGGTCGGTGCGGTTTCTCTGTAGGCCGTGCTATCGCGTCGTGTTTTTTTTTTTTGTGTGTGTGAGTATTTGAAGAGAAAAAAAAAAAGTTGTGTGAAGCCGGAGTACACACGGGGAAATTAAAATCGGGTGAGCTTCCAAAATGTTCCGTTTCCCCTTGAGGGCGGAAAACTTTTTTTTCCCCTTTCTCGCTTTCTTTCCGCTTCGTCGTGCGCTTTCTTCTCCGATTAACGCAACCGGGTGTCGGACGGACGGACGGACGGACGGAAAGGATGACGATTAAACCACTGAGAATAATCTCCTTTTTACTTGACGGGATCTTCGATATCGAGATAGGTTACTGCACAACCCCTCGTCTTGCTATTTCGTACAAAGGGTGGTTGTGAACAGAGAAGATACAGGTGTCATGGAGGTTTTGTTGGTGACTTGCCTAGCCTGACTGCATTTAGCAGAATATATTGATACGACCTTAGAAGTTTTCTCCCTCAAGTTTCGACTCTCAGTTTACTAGCATTTTAACGACCCCCCGGACCCGCAAGTACTGTAGTTCATTTCTTAAATTGCAGTTATATTTTGGGCACAATACCGACCTGCGGTCACTACTCAGTCTCTTAAGGCAAGCGGGGCGATGTGTGTTCAAGGCAGGTACAGTAACTTTGAAAACACGAATATAGCGAAACCCCAAATAATCTGTGACAGCTATGAAATCAAGGAGAGACGTGGTATCTTGTAGATACTGGAAAGCAACAGTTTCTTTCCTACGAGTTTGTGTTCTTAGTGTTTTTCTAAGATACTCCCAGACGATTGTCTGTCTCTCCCATCATTAACATCAGGGTTTTCATGCACACGTGTGGTGCTTATCAGCAGAGACATACACACATCGATTACGTTTTCTTATGGAAAATCTTCTGAAAAACACAAATCGTGATAATATATTTTAGAGTGGAGTATCAGAACATGTCTGAGGCTTTGATAAGATACTGATAGGCTATAACATTGTAGTAGAAGTAATAGTAAAAATGTGGTTATTAATTACAAGATGAAGGGGCTGTTTCTGGAAGGTGTTTCATAGAGGAGTGAATACATTTTCTGGTTTGATGTTGTGGTGTAGTTATTACTAGTTAAGTTGTTGACTTGACCTTACTGTTCTTAACGGGGGTCCTTTTGTTGTGAAGTACGAAGACACTTGCGTTCGGTGTTTTCTGAAAATTCCTCAAACCTCTCCTAATCCGTTAGTATGTGTGCAATTATTTAACAATTTAGAAAAGGGTTTTGTTTTTCGTGCATTTGAATTCAGGGTATTTGTAATGATGAAAGTTAACACCGTCATCATTAACAGATTTCCAGATTCCCGCTCTCATTGGTTTGGATTGGTATGTAATGTTTTCCTGAACACTGACAGGGATTTTGGGAAAGGTTAAAACACATCCATTATGCCTCTATTCACAGGTGGCACATCTATACCCAAAGGATGTGTGGTAGTGGGGAACAAGCTCCCAGTTGTGTTGTTGAAGCCGATACCCTGGCTTACCTCAGGAATGGGCTAGATGTGAACCTGGTATCACTTGGGTATTAATTGATTTATTGAACTACCAGGGGAAGGGTGAATGGCCTCCTCTCATTTGTAAGTTTTCTTATGTTCTTTCAGAAACTTCTCCACGGTGCTCACAGTTGACGTAACACCATACAAACCGCAACAATGTTCACATTGACAGGTTCTTGGGGTGGCACGGTTGTAAGTCTCTTCCACTTCAGCAGCTGCTGTTGTCCCTGAAATATCAGTAAACTACTGTTGTTAAATTGACCCTCCTTCTCAGCTTCATTTTAAATGTGGCGTTAATGAACAGCCGTGTTCGTCAAGACTCGTGCACATCTTGGAGGACAACACAGCCCCTCTGTCAAATATCAGACGTAATGTGATCTGTGTATTGTGATGCACAGCCATTCCTTGCCAGCCTCTGGTCTCTGTCTTGTTTAATCGAACAAAGCTGGGGTTTTGCAAAAAAAAAGTCAAAATTCCTTTATGGTCTGTGTGGAACTGCAGCACATACTGGTGCTGTAGCATTGCTTGACTACTTGTCCACATGAGCATTAAACTAACTTGAAAACGCTTTATCAGATTTGGTGGCAGTGCTGTAATCCTTTTTTAAATGTTCTGCGTGAGTGTGAATAAAGCCACATGCAGTCATATAGGGTAGTTAGATCCACACTATTATGCATCTCGCATATATAAAATGCTCTACGGTCTACGCTGGGATCAGGAATGTGCAAATTGTATTCAGTGCCATTTAAAAAAAAAAGGAAAACGCAGTACACACACTGTGATCACAGTTATAATCGAGAAGCGGCTACAGTCTGCAGCTTTTAAATGACTTCCGAGACCCAGCGACTGAACACAGACCAGGGTTAAAGTGAAGAGTTCGCCATCGTCCGATTTGCAAATGGAAACTAGGCTCTAATCTGTAGGTCATTAACACGCTGCGGTCATAAATACTTTTTAATCATCTTTTCTTGGAATTAATCGCGCAGTGGAGATTGGCGGAAAGATAGGATGCAGTAGATCAAGCAGCTGCGTATAAGTTGAGGTGGGGGAACTGAAACTGAACACCAGAGCTGGAGGTGTGTAACTAACTTGTGGAGGCATCTCAGACTGCGACCGCAGCTGCCAAGTTATTACTGCTGACGTTTCACAAGTCAGAAATCCAAGCTGTCTCGCTCCCCCACCAGCCCCCCATCCGTCGGACCTCCTGCCAGAGTGTCTTATTTCCTGCAGCGACGCGGAGCAATTCGCAAGACGCTGGCAGCCAGGGTCGCTTTTCGGTTTCTAGAGTGGCTTTTGCGACGCCGAGCTGATTAGGGTGAGCCGATGGCGTCTACCCATGGCTGCGTGCCCCGTGTCGGCGTGCAAGGGGAGAATGAGGAATTGTAGGCAGGCCCCTCCGATCCACTCGCCTTTCAGCCTTCCAGCTGCTCATCGTAGGCATCTCCGCCCCCAACCTTCAAGCCCCTCCAGTTGGAGGAGAAGTGCATCCCACTTGTAAGATCCTGGCAGGCCGTGGGGGGCAATGTGTTGCTGAGAGTTCACTCTGGAGGATCCCACCCTTCCATCTGCTCGCCGTCGGCGAGTGACATGATCCAGGCTCAAACCTGAGATCACCGAGCTCGGCCTCTGCTCCCGCCTGCGCCTTTCTCCAGTTGAGCCACGTGGGTGGCGTTTTCCCATCGGGTGCCACAGCGGGATCCGTCAGAGTCGCCCTGTCCTCTGCTCTTCAGGGACATCAGATGGGGAACAACTAGCGTCCCATTAAAAGGGCAGTTTGATGCAATCTTAAAATGTTTGCAGCAGCTACAAATGCCTAAGTGGCATGTTTACAGGAAAAGCTGCTTGAATCACTTCCAGGTTGAATGTGATCTCAGTGTAGACGATGTCAGGTTCTTTTCTGCTGTTTCATTCAGGCATTTTTCCCTAATACTTTTAATCTAAGGCCCATGTTGCAGTATTCTAAAGAAATGTAAACAAACGGGTTCTGTACTTCTGTTCCCCATTCAGATGGTTCCAGCTATTGCATTGTTGAGTGTGGTACTCCCATTGTTTATTTTGTCATGTTTAGAGTCTCCATTTGTTTTTTATTATATCCTTATCCAATTGGGAGTCACCCAGTGAGTCTTCCCATCTTGGATCATAGTGAATGTCCCCTGTACCTGGGCAGGGATACCAAGGAAGCTTGGAGAGGCCCACGCAACCATCGAGCCCATTCATCTTCTGGCATATTTTCGGCTCTGCAGCAATTTACAGATTCGGCACCAGCAGGAGGTGGGGCAGGTCCCTTGTGATGTCACTGCAAGCCTGCAGGGGTCCCTGTTTCTTTGGGAGCTGGGAGAACGGTGGGTGACTAACACCCCAATGTCTGCTCCTGGGGGGACAGAGCCAACTGTGTGTCAGTGCCTGGGAGAAATCCCATATTATCCAGACAGCGGTGTCCTGCATTACTGGTACACAACTGTATTTGTTGACCTCAAATTTGTGACAAAAAAATAATGCAAATAAGGGATCATTTTGCATCTGGATATAGGAATGAAGCGAGAACACGACCGTGCTATTTTTAATGGTAGGAGTTGGAGCCAGTAGG